GGTTGGTCTCGTCGTGCGTTGTTGCGTTGTGTTGCCGCTGTGTTCGATCCGCTAGGTTGGGCGTCACCCGCAGTTGTGCCAGGCAAGATGATGTTGCAAGAGAGTTGGAAGCTCGGCGGTGGTTGGGATGACCCATTCCCTATTGATTTGGCTGTCCGATGTGCTTCATGGTGGGGAGAGCTCGCAGCGCTTTCTTCCGTTAAAATCCCCAGATGGATCGGGTGTACTCCAGATGCTCCAGTCACGTTGCATGTATTCTCAGATGCATCCGAGAAGGGCTATGGCTGTTGTTTCTATGTTGTGTCCGGTTTGACGTCTTCTTTGTTGTGTGCGAAGGCGAAGGTTGCACCTGTTGTACGTCCCACTCTTGCGCGTCTGGAATTGTCGGCTGTGTGTCTTGGCGTGAAGATGTTGTCCTTTGTCGTCAATGAATTGAGAGTGCCAATTGAAAGGATTGTGGGGTGGACAGACAGCCTAACCACATGGCACTGGATCTCAAAGCCGTCGTATCACTGGAAGACGTATGTTGCTAATCGAGTTGCTGCAGTGCAAGAAGTTTCGCAGAAGCTGCAAGTAGAATGGCGTCACTGTCCAGGAGTTAGCAACCCTGCAGATCTTGTCTCGCGTGGTATCCCAGTGTGTGACTTGCAGAAGGAGATGTGGCTGCATGGTCCGTCATGGTTGAGCGATGAGTCTCAGTGGCCACCAGTCATCTCGTTTCAGAGCACCAATGAGTCCGTCACCGAAGCACGCGTGTCGGCTGTGGAGGTTGACACTCCAGTTGTTTGGCCGTGGGAGAAGTTCTCCAAGTGGCAACGAGCTCGCAGTTTGGTCGCAAGTATGCTGTCATGGCGACACAAGGGTGTTTCGCGTGCAGAATTGATTCCATCTGCTGAGTCTGTGATGTTTCGCGCCATCCAAGAGCAATGCTTCCCCAAGGAGTTGTCCCAGTTGCGGAGCAAGGAGCCACTGAAGAAGGGTTCGAAGCTGTTCAAGTTGTCTCCGTTTCTGGATGAAGCTGGTTTGCTCAGAGTTCGTGGTCGTCTGCAGGAGAGCGATCTGTCCTACGAGGTTCAGCATCCGATCATCCTGGGCAGATGTCATCTAAGTGAGTTGTTTCTGCGTGATGCTCACCTTCAGCGAATGCACCAGGGTGTAGAGAGCGTGCTTGCGTTTCTACAACAGCAGTTCTGGATTCTCGGAGCTCGTCGGTTTCTTCGTAGCGTGTCGGAGAAGTGCATTGTTTGCCGCAGATTTCGCGCACAGACTGCTGCTGAGGAGATGCCGCCGTTACCCTCAGACAGGGTGAAGCACCACCAGCCATTCGGTCTCACAGGTATTGATTATGCAGGTCCGCTGTACGTGCGCAGTTCATCAAATGTTCAGAAAGTGTGGGTCGCACTCTTCGTGTGCGGTACTACTCGCGCAGTGCACCTAGAGCTCGTGGATAGCCTGTCGACAGAGGTGTTCCTGCTAGCATTGCGTCGTTTCATCGCCCGTCGTGGGAAGCCGCTGCGTATACGTTCAGATAATGCTACGACGGTCAAGTCCGCCGCAGACAAGGTGGCAATCCCGTGGTTCTTCAATCCGCCATCTGCCCCGTGGCATGGAGGGTTCTATGAGCGTCTGGTGGCATGTGTGAAAGCTCCCTTGAAGAAGGTTCTCGGTCGAGCGTCGTTGAGTCGAGACGAGCTGTTCACTGTCTTGACGGAGATCGAGAGAGTCGTCAACTCTCGACCCCTCACTCCGGTTTCTACGGATGTAGCTGACGAGTCGCCGCTGACTCCAGCCATGATGTTGGGAGACATCTTTGCAACCGGTATTGCCTCGTCTGACAGACCACTCGATCCACGGCAGTTGTCCGCTCGAGTCAAGTATGTCCACGCCGTCTACGAGCACCTCAACCAGCGTTGGTCGTCTGAGTATCTCATTCGTCTCAGTGAGTATCATCGGTCGAAGTCAACTCCGCTTGTCGTGAACGACGTTGTGTTTATTGCCGACGACAACCGGAAGCGGCAATCATGGCGCTTGGGTAGGGTCGCAGAGCTGTATCCTGGAAGAGATGGCAAGTGCAGGGTGGCCAAAGTCCAAGTTGGCCAATCGTCCATGCTACGGCCCATTCAACGCTTGGTTCCGTTGGAAGTAGCGAAGGAGCACGTTGAACCGCAAGTTACGCGTCGATCTCGTCGTACCGTTCGACCACCATCTCGTCTTGATTTGTGATCAGTGTGGTTGAAGCCCTTTGGTGGGGAGAATGTTGTGTATCGTGTCGGAGAAAGGTCTTCTGGGGTGTCGTCGAGATCTCGTTGCGACCGTGACTCCTGCTTGTCTCCCTGGCTAGGTGCTGCTTGCTTTGCTTTTTGCGTAGTGTTTTTGATTATTGTTTACTATTGCGTATTGTTAGTGTTCGTTTTGATTTGGTACAATACTTGTTACGAGATACGACACATTGTGTAGTGTGTGTTTGCAGCACGAAGAAGACTGCTCACCAGAACGGTTAGCTCAGGAGCTTGGGCTTACCTTGTGCAATCACAGTTCATCAGCTTGGACATTGCGCTTGGTCCCATGCGAATAACCGACTAGAATAGTAATTATTTCTTCGTGCATTTTTGAATTGTGTTCTTGCTAGCTCGTTGATTTATTTAGTTGATGTGTTGATTTGTGTTTGATTACTTATTTATTTGATGCGCGATTTATGTGCGCTGATTGCGTGATGGCATGCAATTATGATCATGCTTGCGCCAGCTAGCTAGATGCCTGCGCCGCGCACTGATGTTGAATGAGTTAGTATGCGCCCCGCGCTGTTCATGCATATATGGTACATGGTGTGTAATGTTTGCCGCACACGCGTATACGTGCCTCGCCTCGTACTGCTTATGTGCCGCGCGCCGTACTATTGCTGTCGCTTTGCCGCCAAATTTAGCTTCCGCTTTCCGAGCGCTGTACGCTCTTCTGTACGCTCATGCCAAAGTTGGACGCACGTTGTGGCTGGCCAGCGCTTTACCCCTCATGCGTTGTTCTTTTCCTTGATGCTGTGGTTTGTTTTTCTTTAGTGTTCTAGAGTTCTCTTTCCGATGTAGTTCGTATTTTTCCAGTCTCTTCTTCTCAATGTATTCTACTGTTCATTCATTATAGTCCGTAAAGAATTACGTGACCTCTTGTCTTGTGGCGTCTGTGCGATCCTGAAACTTTTGAGGTGTTAGTAGTGAACACAACAAGTGCAACAAGACTAGGCATGCAGATCAATGCTTCCAAGACCAAGTCAATGGCAGCGCCGGAGGGCGGTGGTGATCTGGGGTGCATTCAAGTAGGCAATGAGCGAATAGAAGAGGTATCCCAGTTTAAATACTTAGGTGCCGTAATCACGTCGGATGGCAAGTCCGATGTGGAGATAAGAAGACGCTTAGCACTAGGAAGCAAAAGATCATTGAGCTTCAATTCATTTGGAAATCGCCATCACTTTCTTTGCCTACAAAATTTCGTTTTGTTAGGTCTATTGTGCTAGCGACTGTTTTATACGGATGCCAATCTTGGACATTATCTGCCTCATCAATGAGAAGAATTTCATCCTTCGAGATGAAATGCTTCCGCCGACTCTTAGGAGTAACATACCACGACCGGCGTACCAACCAATCTATCCTGGAAGAAATCAATGACATCATCGAAGCAAGGATGCGGCTAGCGGACGAAGTCAAGAAATTTAAGTTGATGTGGTTTGGCCATGTTACGAGACATGACGTTTTCTCCAAGCCCTTCCTGCAAGGATCAACTCCTGGATCTCGACCGAGAGGAAGGCCCATGACATCATGGATTTCTAACATTAAAAGTTGGACGGGTCTTCCCTTGCATGCTCTCTCTCATGCAGCACACGATAGAGTTGGATTCAGAGACATCATTCACAATTCTCTCGCTGATTAATGCCTCTACGATCACCTTGTGATTATGAGTTATACATACATACATACCAGGCGCGTACGCAGGGTCACCTCTAGGGGGGTTTCCAACCGAATCATAAACAATGCATTGTTCGCGTTCCTTGGATCATATTCATATTCATATTCATCATATTCATCAGTTCTACCCGCTCAATCTTCCTGGAAGTGGAATGGTATCCACGTCCACGAGAGAAGAGAATGAGGTCGACCATGATAGCCAGGACACTGCAGGCGCGTAGCACCGCCGTTGGAGGTGGTCCGGGTGCATGGCCATGGGGGTCGGGGGGGGGGGGGTGTCCCCCCCCCGGGAAAAATTGGAAATTAGGGAGCAAAATCCTGCATTCTGGGCACTTTTGGCATTGGTCAGGCCACAGCCGGACTGGCCGGACCTGCTGCTACGCTCCTGCACTGTACCAGCGGTAGAGTGCAGCAACGGTGCGAAAAATGCCCCAAACAAAGGCCCAAACGCGTCCTGCTCCAGCGATTTCGTTTTTCTCGATCGCAGAGTTTCGATTGTTTTGCTGTATACTCTTGAGAATATCACAAGTGAAGCCCCTGCAAACTTAAGCAAGTCGATGTGACAAACAGTCTCAAATTCTCGATACTCAAGTCGCACTGCGCGCTTTGGAAATTGCCGAGATCGCGGCTCAACTTACGAATGATATATCTCAAGAAACATTGCTCGCAGCGCTTCGCGAATTGTTTCTACCGACAGCTGAGAGTTTTCTATTCGATCTGGATATTTGGATCGTTGGAATTGAGCGAGATTTGACTGAGTTATGACCTGTTGAAGTTTTCATTCTTGTCAGATCAATCGCGCGCCCTACCAAAAAATGCCCAAAAATGTTGCTCGTTTGGAACATTTGGGGGGTTTCCGGGCAACGGAAAACCCCCCCTGCGTACGCGCCTGCATACATACAAATGTAAAAGGGGAAGTCCGGTGAAAATTTTAAATTTCTGGGTCTGTAGAGCTCCACGGCCTGCAAGGCAGTGTTGCCATGGAATCGCATTGCTATGGCAAACCATTCCTACGGTGAACAATTGCCATGGTAACGTCGAACTCACCGTAGCAACCAGCAGTCTGCTGCCAGAATCCAATGTGGGCGTATCCCGGAATGTCCTCTTGTAGCGATTTCTTGAAGCCAAGCTTGCAGGTGACATGACCGCTCTCGTCAATCGAGGCCACGCCCGGATACCTCCAGATCAGGCCGAAGGGCAGCGTTGCGTTCTGTATGACGGCTCCTGAAATACGCACAAGACATACAGGTCAGGCAAGGGACAGGTACGGGACAGGTACGGGGCAGGTACGGGGCAGGCACAGGGCAGGTACGGGGCAAGTACGGGACAGGTATGGGGCAGGCACGGGGCAGGTACGGGGCAAGTACAGGACAGGTATGGGGCAGGTACGGGGCAGGCAGGGGGCAGGTACGGAGCAGGTACGGGGTAGGCACGGGACAGGTATGGGACAGGTACGGGGCAGGCAGGGGCAGGTACGGGGCTAGTACGGGGCAGGTACGGGGCAAGTACGGGACAGGTACGGGGCAGGCACGGGGCAGGTAAGGGGCAGGTACGGAGCAGGCAGAGGGCAGGTATGGGGCAGGTACGGGTAGGTATGGGATGTATTAAAAAGAAAAAATGAGTAACGAAACAGTTGAAGAGTTTAGATGGAAAACACGACAAGCGCCAAAATTGGCAAAAATATGGTTTTGAGCTCAGCGTAATCAAAAGTCAACTTCTTGAAATTTTTCCCATTCAAAATCTGACCATAACCACGTCAAAATGTTGGCCAAGTAAGATACTACTGGTGGTGGTAGTGGACATTATAGCGAAATTTGTAGTTTCTTGGTCCTTTTTCTTTACTATAAAATTAAGGTACAAACCCCATTTACAATGAATTCAAACAAACACACACACACACACACATACACATACATAAACACACACACACATATACACACACACATACACACACATGTACCCAAACATGCACTTGCTCTCTGCCAGAAACGTATCGGTTGGGTCTCCCTGGGAGAGGTGAGAAACATTCCTAAGGCAGCGCACACATACATGCATATGCACATGCATGCACACACGCGCGAGCGCGCACACACACACACACACACACACACACACACACACATGTACACACACATAATCCATACACACCACTTACCAACACAGACATACGAGAACCTTGCATTGAATCTCGCTACTCCATGGATGTTATACCAGATTGGGACATCCTGAAAGGTGGAAGCAACTTCTAGGCATGCTGGGTTGGAGACGTCAGCCTTCATAACTACCAGGAGGTTTTTCCAAAAGTTCTCGCTGGGAAGAAAGAATCCAATATCCCGCTGGCAATCTTGCTGGGCTTGGCGGTAGGTGGCTTTTCTGAACGTGTCCTTCAGGATTTGAACCCGCCAATTTCCGCAGACGTGCTCGGCTACGATATGCTCTCCTGTGTTTACACCAACATCACCATCACAACCGCCACCAGCAGCAGTAGCAGCACCAGCAGCAGCAGCACCAGCACCACCAGCAGCAGCACCAGCAGCAGCACCAGTAGCAGCACCGGTATCAGCAGCAGCACCAGCAGCAGCAGCAGCAGCAACAACAACAACAACAACAACAACAACAACAACAACAACAACAACAACAACATTTCACGCTTTAAAGTTAAACATATACTCTTCGCGCATTCTCTGCGCCATAATTATGCCCCACCACATATACTCTCGCTGCATACTGCTAGCAACGTGCAACCTTCGTATAATTTACGTCGCTCTCGTACTTGGCACTTGCCAACTCCGCGGACTGACCGCTGTCTCCATTCTCCCCTGTACAAGGCCCTTCATTACTTTAATTGCCTGCCCACTCAGCTTCGCGAAATCCCTTCTCGTACTCCCTTCAAATCCGAGATATCCCTGCTGTTGCACAACTCTGTATGCTCGTGTAGCGGCCACCCCTGCCCGTACACTTAAGTACGCAACTCTGTATGCTCGTGTGGCGACCACCCCTGCCCGTACACTTAAGTAGTCATTAACCCCTAGGCCCTGCCCACCCACTTCTTCCTCACTTTTTCTCCTTTCTTACACTATTATCTCTTATTGGCCACTGGCTATCGTGAGAATAAAGATTTGAAACAACAGCAGCAGCAGCAGCAGCAGCAGCAGTGCGGTCAGCACCAGCAACAGAGCCAACGACGATGACGACAAAACAAAGACAGCAACAGCAACAGAAACAGCGTGAGAATATGGATTTGAAACAAAACACAGTACATAACTGTATTAAGTTAAATGTGAGTTCGTGAATTTCATGCGTCTGCTGAAATAATTTGACCAGTGCTCTGCGAAAACCGACCTTAGGTGCTATTTTGGCGAAATTGAGTTTGTGCTGGATTGTTGACCCATGACCCTTTCTTCAACTTCTGGTGAAGTTTTAGGTGGATTGCATACATATTCAGTTAGATACAATGACAATTTCTTTGCACTTTTCCTGCAATTTTTGGAGGAAAAATTGCAAAAATCCTGGATTTTATGCTACATTTTGGAAACAATGGTGTGAGGATTCAAGCAGCATGATTGCAACCAAACTTTGCAGAATAAATCTGTATGTCATAATCCTCAAAAGGAAAGGTTTATGATGGCATTGGATCTTCCTGTTGTGGAGATAGACACCGTGACATTCTATCTCTGTTCTGTGGATGGTGTTGCTCACGAATCTGGTGGAAGAGGTATTTGGCTCTGTTTGAGGATATGCCAGCCGGAGTGATGCGTAGAGGCAGGTGCAAAGTAGTGAAGAAGCTAGGATCAATGCCGGGTTAAAGGATATTGATAGTTTTATCTGGTACTGGTAGTTAGAACATCTAGTTATGTCTACATCTGCCGCACACATTGTTTCGTAATCGGTGATATGATGTCTCTTTTCCAAATCTTGCCAAACGTACTGTATGCAGCTTTTCCACAAGGCTTTGTGAACGCCTGGTGAACAAGCTTCTTCGTAGTGATACTGGGCAAATGCGTGTAGGTTGGTACTGGCTTGTTGTGCCCATGTGGAGCCGCAGGTTAAGGGAGGCCATGAACTATATATAGCATAATACTAGCATAGCATAATGCTCTATAAAATGCTTCAGCTCCACAACATCTTCCACAGGCAGTGCATTCCAGAGTTCTGTGTTGGGCTGATCTCACTTGCACTGACAGCAGCCTGTAGATTTCAGCACCCAGGGCTTGATCCTGGACTGGAGCCGTGGAGACACACACAAAGACTTCCTGACATCCTACGATTCCACATCCGACTCTCCTCGGCGCTGCTGTCATCAGAACTGCGATTGGACCAGGCCAAAAAAGGACTATTCATCGTGAAGGAGTTCGGCTAAAACCTCTGGGGAGAAGCCCACAGCAATTTGAGCTAGCGTCCGTCTTCTGCTTCGTTCCGCCATGACTCTCACCTTGTAATCTTCAAAAATCGACAGATCGTGACGTTTTGTTCTTTTTCTCGAAAAAATTACGAAGCACCTAAGGTTGGTTTTCGCAGAGCGCGGGTCATTTAGGCTCTACAGGGTTAACATGTGGTAATGGGTACGGATGCGCAAACCTCAGCCTTCAGCTGAGTCTCACTCCAAACATGCTTTGCTTTGTTTTTAATGGCTACCCCAAACTGAGAAGTAGATGAGATTTCTCACTTACAGATTCTGCCACCAAGCAACCGTCTGCCAGCCGGGAAACCGGATAAGGGTTGTCACTAAAGTTGTTGTCGCCCTGTAACGAACATCACTCATTTGGGGGGGGGGGGGGGAGGGGTGCAAGCCAAAATCACAAGTCGACCGATGCTGCACATACCGTAAAGTCGCTGATAAAAGCCGGGCTTGTAAGCATATAAGCCGCTTTCTGCATCAGGCTTTAATGCAAACCAGGCTTGTATGCAAACCATGCTTATATGCACCACTGATATTTTTGCCAGGCTTGTATGCACATCGGCTGACCTTCTATTGTACCGCCACCTTGGCTACTAGTATTTTTATGCCTTTTCTGCATAGAAGCCAGGCTTCTACGCGCGACGCGCGTAGATCTACCACTGACTACCAGTATGGCGGCAGTTTTACTATGCACCGTACATAGCGCATGCACTCTTGACCTACCCGATCCGCGCTTGCATAGAAGCCAGGCTTCTACGCGAGACAGGCTTATATGCATTTGACCCGTTTGATTTTCAGGCTTCTATCCGCGATGTGCTTGTATGCAAACCCGGCTTTTATCCGTGACTTTACGGTGTACATCAGGGCTGAATTTACTGTCATATTTTGCATAGCAGTTTCTGCTATACGATAATCACAATTGTGTAGCAGTCTTTGATTTTGATTAGCATTTTTCTTTGAAGGTTGGGTGTTTACCACATTGTCCTTCTTGAGAGTGATACCTGAAAGCCCATTTGCAAAAAAACCAACTGAAGCATACATGTGCATGCAGATTGAGAGTACCTGCACCACATATACTGCACTGTATGCATGTTACTTGGCGAACCAGGCTAGGCATGGATAGCCTTTATGTATCGCAGTTTTCTGCGCGTCACGGTGACTTTTAAGTAGCAGTAGATCGATTTTGTATCGCACACTGCGATGCGATACAGGATAAATTCATCCCTGTAGATGCACATGCATGCCATTTGCGTCGTCCAGCACAGCAAGATGCGTTCCTTTCGGCGGGGGGGGGGGGGGGGGGGGGTCCGAGTACAAAATGAACGATATTCGTTTCAGGGATGACAGGAAAACGTTTGCGACAACAGCTCATCAGACATGAGTCACAACACCACATGGAAACACAAGCAAACATTTTTAAAAAGGTTTGTATACATTTCGTAAAGAGACAAGTTACCTAGATTCCGGGCAGGCTGTTTCGGAGACCTTCCCTTCGCCCGATGTCTGCGTCTCTCTTCCTCAGGGATGCGTGCTTCTGAAAGTCACACCGGATCAAAGATCAATTCGGTCAGTCACACATGTAAGTAATGTGTGGCTCACCTTGCTAACAGAGAATCAGTGACTTTAAAAAAAAGTTAGTTCACTGGCACCTTCGTCACGAACAGTGCATTGCCCATCTAATGTGCGAATTCTGTAGAAATCTGACAATAGGTTCTCTTTGGAAAAAAGGTTTGTATCGAAAATACACACATCAAATATTCACTGTTTCGAAGTTGCCTACCCCCCCCCCCCTCCCACACACACACACACATTACCAGAGTCCAAAAAGCTAATTTACCTATATTCTATAACGTTAGTGCCTTTGGCTAGCAAATTTCGGATCTCTTGCTCAATTATTGGCCTAGTTATTATGCTAATCTTGTCCGCATGTTAAACAATGTGAAAAGGGGGTTGAGGAAATGAGCCGAAAAACCACATCCGAGGTTCAAGATTGGAACTTTGAAGTTAGCACTGCGTAGTCAATACCGTATTTTATCGGTTGTAGGTCGACCCCCGTATCCGCAGGTCTCGATTCTGCGTTAAAGTTTTCACCCAAAGAAGCACTACTAACCACCTCCTGCTACTAACACATCAACAAATCATGTAAACATTCCTTATCGGAGGGTATAACGTCCCAATCCTTGAAAAAGGCCAATAAACTGGCAAAAATGTGTACACATGGTGCACTCGGGCATGCAGTGCAGGTCATTTTTTGTAAGATACTGATAGTTCCCGGTTATAAGTCGAATCCCGGCTGTAAGTCGACCCCCACCCATTCTCCTTCTATTTTAAGCCATAAAAGGTCGACTTACAACCGGAAAAATACGGTAGTCCAAAGCACCCACTACTAAATTTTGGTCAATATCTGACAAGAAGTGATTTTGGACCAAAAGTGTCCCCAACTACCTTAACCTTTTGAGCATGCGTGACGTTCTGACACGTCATGACCACTGCCACTGTGACACGCGTGACGTTCTAGAACGTCACGAGTCAGTGTGGAACTACATCGATCCCGCGTTTCTTCCGTGGCGTGGCGTCGAGCTGTACCGCCGCACAGAGGACTCCTAGGATGTACGCGTACTGTAAAAAAAATGCGAGTCGCTCCGTAAGTTTGAACTGGAGTTTAATACATGCGTGTGCATACATTTCAAAATACCAATTTCGCGTAAACTACCTTTCTGAAAACGGTCATAACTTTTGTAATCTTTGTTGTATTTCCAAAACAAAAACAGTTCTGTGCTCAGGATACATGAAAGAATCGTTTGAAATCAAGTTTGCTCACATAGAGTGAATTTAAATTGTTGACTGCGTGGCAGAGGTTTTCAGTCGGCCGGGCTCAAAAGGTTAAACGTACCTGCTAAGCCTGTTTTGGAACTCCACAAAAAAGTCCACATAAAATAAAGTCAGAAACAACAACAACAACAACAACAACACAGCAATGCTCTCACACCGTTGTCCCACACTTCCCTTGACAGGCTAGAACGACTCCAGCGGAAAGCCGCCAGAATATGTCTCCACCTTCCCCTTTACACACACTTAGAACACTCCCACCTTTTGCATCGCATCAAATGGCCAACATTATTTTCACGCTTTAAAGTTAAACATATACTCTTCGCGCATTCTCTGCGCCACAATTATGCCCCACCACATATACTCTCACTGCATACTGCTAGCAACGTGCAACCTTCGTATAATTTACGTCGCTCTCGTACTTGGCACTTGCCAACTCCGCGGACTGACCGCTGTCTCCATTCTCCCCTGTACAAGGCCCTTCATTACTTTAATTGCCTGCCCACTCAGCTTCGCGAAATCCCTTCTCGTACTCCCTTCAAATCCGAGATATCCCTGCTGTTGCACAACTCTGTATGCTCGTGTAGCGACCACCCCTGCCCGTACACTTAAGTACGCAACTCTGTATGCTCGTGTGGCGACCACCCCTGCCCGCACACTTAAGTAGTCATTAACCCCTAGGCCCTGCCCACCCAATTCTTCCTCACTCTTTCTCCTTTCTTACACTATTATCTCTTATTGGCCACTGGCTATCGTGAGAATAAAGATTTGAAACAACAACAACAACAACAACAACAACAACAACAACAACAACAACAACAACAACAACAACAACAACAACAACAACAACAACAACAACAACAACAACAACAACAACAACAACAACAGAGAGACCAGATACTGAAACTAGCCGTGCACCACTGCCAAGTGACCAAAAGCAAGTCCCGCAAAAATTCTACGCCCACTCGTCCCTGGATGACGAAGGATCTCCTCAGCCAGATCAAAACAAAGCACAAACAGTTCCGCACCTACAAGGCGACCCAACTAGACTCAGATTGGAAACTGTACACAGCCCAGCGTAACCGAGTAACCGCTCTTTTGCGACAGGCTAAGTCCGACTTTGTCCAGCAAACAACGTCAACGGGTACAAACCTCCACCGTCTACTGAAGCACCTGAAAAAACCGCCTAAGCAAACAATTCCCACACTATCGACAGCCAACTCCACTGCAGCCACGGCTATGGAGAAAGCAACAGCTCTCAACAAGTTCTTTATCTCCCAAAGCCAACAGTCCATCGACAAGACCACCTGTACTACACCAGACATCAACACTACCCCTGACATCAGTCATACTCTAAATACAATCGCAGCAACAGTGGAAGAGGTCGAGAAGCTTCTATGCAGTCTAGACACTGGCAAGAGCCCAGGCTTTGACAACATCCCAACTCGGCTCCTGAAAGAAACTGCAAAGGAAATCTCCCCATCTCTCACTAGTCTCTACAATCTGTCCTTCAGAACCGGAGAAATACCACAGGATTTGAAAGACGCAACTATTACACCCATCCCCAAGTCGGGCAACCCCTCCCATCCTACCAACTACCGACCCATCTCCCTGCTCAGTATAATATCAAAAACACAAGAAAAAATAGTCCACTCTCGTCTGTACAATCACATAGCACCGCACTTACCCTCCAACCAATCCGGCTTCAGGAAACAAGACGGGACCGAACTGCAACTCGCACGGATCGTCCACCAGATATCCACAGCTAGGGATGCGGGGAAGCATGTTGTAACGTGTTTCTTCGAGCTCAGTAAAGCCTTTGATCGTGTATGGCATCAAGGCTTGCTGAAAAAGCTGAGCCACTATGGTGTCGACGGCAAGGCTCACAATTGGCTCGAAGTCTACTTGACAGGACGCAGACAGCGGGTGCAGGTTGAAGGCACAACATCCGCCTTCATACCAATACCAGCAGGAGTGCCCCAGGGCTCGGTCCTGGGCCCACTTCTGTTCCTGGCGTACACCATTGACCTGCCCACTGCCTGTGAAAATGCTACAACCTCGTGTAGCCAGTTCGCGGACGACACCGCACTAATTGCCATTGCAGGCAGCTACATTGAGTGTGAGGCTGCGCTACAAAGAAGCGTCGATGCTGCAGCAGAATGGCTAGAGCGCTGGCACCTGCTAGTCAATAAAACGAAAACCGTCATCCTCCCGTTCTACCATGCTAACCGACCCCCACCATGACTACCCGAAATAAAACTTGGCCAAACCCTGTTAGAAACAGTAACACAACATCGTCACCTCGGCATGATCTTTCAGCACGACCTAAGATGGTCAGCCCACCTTGACTTTGTGCTGAAGAAAGCCGTAAAATCTTTTAATATTCTCTTTAGGCTCAAATCAACTCTACATACTAAATCACTCTCTCTCATTTACAAAACGTATATCCTGCCTATAATTGAATATGCATGCATTGCTGTCACCCCGCTCTCAATCGCAGCCCTTGACCGTCTTGAGCGAATCCAGCGCAAGGCGGCCAGAATCTGCCTCCGTCTCCCCCTTTACACTCCTCTGGATCATTCAACACTGCTCCATCGGCTCAAATGGCCGACAATGTTCTCTCGCCGCAAAGTGAAGCTCACCCTTCTTGCTCACTCCATAAAATACCAATATGCCCCACAACACATACGCTTGCTCAACACCCCCGCTCAAGTTACGGCCCAGTACAGCCTTCGACACGCACGCACTTGGCACCTCCCACCCTCCAGAACCGATCGCTGTAAAGACTCCCCACTGTACAAGTCCCTAGAATACTACAATGCCCTCCCTGCTAGCATTCGTGACGTCTCCTCCCGACCTGCTTTCAAACACGAAATCTGCTCACTGCTGATTAACTCAATCTGCTCCTGCAGCGCTCACCCTCTCCCATACTTGTAAAGTTCAAAGTGATGTAAATCACTTTCCAACTGTTTAACCCACAATCTCACATTCTCATCAATTTATCTCTTATTGGCGATGGTGCCATCGTGAGAATAAAGAATTCAAACAACAACAACAACAACAACAACGCTTTAAAGTTAAACATATACTCTTCGCGCATTCTCTGCGCCACAATTATGCCCCGCCACATAATAATATACTCTCGCTGCATACGGCTAGCAACGTGCAACCTTCGTATAATTTACGTCGCTCTCGTACTTGGCACTTGCCAACTCCGCGGACTGACCGCTGTCTCCATTCTCCCCTGTACAAAGCCCTTCATTACTTTAATTGCCTGCCCACCCAGCTTCGCGAAATCCCTTCTCGTACTCCCTTCAAATCCCAGATATCCCTGCTGTCGCACAACTCTGTATGCTCGTGTAGCGACCACCCCTGCCCGTACACTTAAGTACGCAACTCTGTATGCTCGTGTGGCGACCACCCCTGCCCGTACACTTAAGTAGTCATTAACCCCTAGGCCCTGCCCACCCAATTCTTCCTCACTTTTTCTCCTTTCTTACACTATTATCTCTTATTGGCCACTGGCTATCGTGAGAATAAAGATTTGAAACAACAAAAACAACAACAACAACAACAACAACAACGTTGTGGAGCGAGGAACGCATTGCGTCCCTGCGTGAAGCTTTTGCTACCTGCAATCTGCAGTACGATCCACATCCCACTGACCCTCAGCCAGTAACCTCATTCTGGAACTTCTAGAGAGAC